GGGAGGGGAAGGCACGGGAGGGGAAGGGAAGGGAAGGCACGGGAGGGGAAGGCACGGGAGGGGAAGGCACGGGAGGGGAAGGCACGGGAGGGGAAGGCACGGGAGGGGTGGCGGAGGCGCCGCGCGTCCCGGGGCCGCAGCCGGGGCTGCAGCCAGAGCAGCGTGGCCTGAGGGAGGCAGGGGGGGATTCTGCCCCTGGAGAGCTGCACCCAGCTCTGCGGTGCTCGGCACGGGAAGGACCCGGAGCTGTTGGAGCGAATCCGGAGGATGCCACCGCAATGAGCAGAGAGCTGCAGCACCTCTGCTGTGAGCACAGGCTGAGAGGGCCGGGCTGGTTCAGCACGGAGAAGAGAAGGTTCTCCAGGGATATTCTTGCAGTACTTGAATGCTGTAAGAGAGACGAAGACCTTTTACCAGGGCCTGTAGCAACCGGCCAAGGGTGAATGGTTTTACATTGTAAGGGAGTAGGTTTAGATTGGATATAGGGGAGGATTTTTTCCAGTGAGGGTAGTGAGGCCCTGACAACTTGCCCAGAGAAGTTGTGGCTGCTCCATCTTCTGGAGGTGCTCAAGGCCAGGTTGAATAAGGCTTTGACCAAGTAGACTGAGTGGGAGATGTCCCTGCCCATGGCAGGGGGTTTGTGCCAGGTGATCTCTTCCAACCCAAACCAGTTGTTGGTCTGCAATTGTGATAAATAACAAAACACGGCAGAAAAGCACATGGTGTCAATGAAGCAGAGTTCTGTGAACAGTACCTACGTGAATTTAACTTCATTAGATGAATCTGAGCAAGCTGAGAGGTTGAAATGATGGCTTTAGGTCTGGAATTCAAAACCATCAATTCAGGGTGGTTGCATTTGTGTTCCTGACATCTGGGGAATGCCAGTTTTAGATCCTAGTGTCAGCAGCATATTCAGATCTTGCTGCCAACCAGGGACTAATTTTCAGTCTTTAATTTTTTTAAGCATTCCCTTGCCTCATGTAGAACGGTGGCTTCCTGCTGCTGGGAATGTCCATCCTGCTGGGAAGCTGGTGATGCAAGTTCCCTCCTGCAGGACTGAGGTGACCACAGGTTACTGTTGAAGGACAGGAACTGCTGATGAAGCATTGCCCAGGAACTGGGGGATCAGCAGGGTGTCTTGCTGCACTGGAGAACTTGCTGCTGCTTGGAAATGCCACAGCTGGAGTTTAGGTCTCAGGATAAGGGATCTGTGCAAGTAAAAGCATCTCAGTGCATTGATGGCATTTGCTTTTGGGGAGTTAAGGTGCCATTTTTATTCAGAAGTGAAAGCATCAGCATGTTCTGACTCCTCATGGGTTGGATTCTCAGACTCGCTCAGACGTGCCCAGAGTCAGTTTGGGTTGGCCAGCCCCGAGCTGGCTGCCAGGCTGTGCTGCTCCAGGGTTGGGCTGGCTCATCCTCAGGATGCTTAGCTCAGCTCCCCAGGCAGGCTTCTACTGCTGCTCTGGGGGAGTTAAGTGCTGGAGCAGACTCAAGGCAAGTCTGTCTGCACATGGTTTAGACCTACTGCTAGCTCAATTTGTGCCTTAAGATTCCTGAGAACTTGGCAGCTAAACGATTTGTGAATTTACTTTTTTATTCTTGCATAATTCTACACGACATACTATGGAAAAACAAAGTAAATTACTTTCAGGTTTAAAATTAAATGTCTGTACTTGTATGAAAGAATTATTTTTATTCTACATAAACCAAAGTTTGACAGCTTGGCAGAAATCAAAGCAGAATCTTGGCATTTTGGTTTTTAAACTGGTACCTTTTACAAGTTTTAAGCTTGTAGGTTTAGTAATTACATAGCATCAACAGAAAGGCCTAACAATGTTCCCTCTTTTGTAAACTGTTTCTGTTGAAGGATATGTAATAAGAATACAAGTTTCTGATCCTGCTCCCTCTCTCCACCTCCCTCTGCATGTTGCCACTCAATCTCTTAAAGCTGAGTTGATTTAAAAAAAAAATAAAAATTTGGAAGCTCTTGCTACATGTCCACTTGCCCACAGGTTCTTTGGGGTGGGGGGCGGGTTTCCTGCATGGGTAATGATCCTTTGGGTTCCATCACAGCTGGGAGCAGTTAGAGAGGTCCTGAAGCCACAGCTGTTCCCAATGTACTGTGAAATCCCCCTGGACAGGGCAAGAGCTGCTGCCCTGGGCCTGTGACCTCTTGAGGTTGTGTTTTGGTGATTGTTCTGGGTTTCTCTCCCCTTGGACAGGAAGATGCCCAAGAAGGGAGGGAAGATTGCAGACGTGGCAAAGGAAACACAGGCTCAGTGCAAACGGCCCAGGTTGGATGCAGCTGGTTCTCCATCAGTCCTGAGTTTTGAGAGCCCCGACAGCCTCTTCAGGAGCCTGATCTCTCCCATCAGAGAAGAGGAGTTTTTCAGGGACTACTGGGAGCAGAAGCCCCTGCTTGTTCAGAGGAATGATGTCCTGGTGGCTGCTTACTACCAGTCCCTGTTCCAGCTGTCACACTTGAAGGAGCTGTGCAGCCAGGGCCTGTACTACGGGCGGGATGTGAATGTCTGCAGGTGTGTCAATGGGAAAAAGAAGGTTTTAAATAAAGAAGGTAGAGTGAATTACATGCAGCTGAAGAAGGATTTTGACCAGAAAAAGGCAACAATACAGTTTCATCAACCTCAGAGATTTAAGGTAGGATTGTTTCATTGTAATTAGCGCCTGCTTTGTAATGTGGTGTGGCTTTTGCTGAGTGGCACTAGACATGGCTTTATATCTGTCCCCAAGGGGAGGTTGGCATTGATGACCTGCTGGAATCTTTACATTAAGTGTATTAAAACACAGTTTATACTTCTGCACTGCCCAGCATGTTCCAGTGCTCTGCAGTAAGAACAAAGTGTGATTCATACTATAACGTTTTTCTGTAGTATTAAGTATGCTTTTTAAATGCATGTAATTGGTCATTAGGCATCGGTGCTTAAATTATCTCTTTGCTCCACTTTTTCCTTGTGCAAACAGGGGGTTTTGTACCACTTCCCTTTAATCAAGGATGAAGTGTGAAACCATATCAAGTACTTCCAGAACACTCCACCATTTTTGCCAGTGGATTAACATTGAACTACACCATGGAAGTGACCAACCCATTTTAGCTGACTGTCCTCAGTCTTTGTGTATGGGAAGGAGACAGTGGTGCTGCGTTGTTGTAAAGGACTTGGATACTTGAAGTTACTTTGATTTAGGCTGTCTTTTTTTGTCCCTTTTTAGGCAGTCTAATTGTGAGGTGGGCCCAAATAAGGACTCAAATACACAGCTGAGTCCCACGTGTAGTGCCACTGACTGAGCTCAGTTGTTGGCATCTCCTGATGTTTCCCTGTCGCGTGTTGGGTATTGAGGAGTAAAGTTTGTACTTGAATATTCCCAAGCAATTGGAGTCATTTGTAAAAGATGTCTAACCTTTGTGTTAGTCTCTCTTTGATGCAGATGGGATGATGGGTGGTTTATTCTGCTCTGTTTAGCCTCATTTTTGCCTGATTTTGTATACTGAAGTTGGTGCAGGGAAGAGAGCAAACATCAGTGTTCTGATGGGGCATCAGTTTTTGGCTTTCCCATTGCTTCCATATCAGATCTTCTTTGCTAGTGCAATGCTTGCCTTGAGGAGAAGCTGCTTCCCAGGTTGTGCATTCCTGTGGGGATGTCACCATTCTTCCTCAGTGATGGGCTGGTGGCAGCCAAGCTTGGCTGAGCTCTTCAGTAGTAACAGCATCTATTTTTTTTTTTTTCCTTTTTAATAGGAGGAGCTGTGGAAGATTCAGGAGAAGCTGGAGTGTTACTTTGGGTCTCTGGTGGGCTCCAATGTTTACATCACTCCCCAGGGGTCTCAGGGCCTTCCCCCTCACTATGATGATGTCGAGGTAGGACAACACCACCTTGTCTGTGGGACCCTTTGTGGGCTCCTGGCAGTGGCTGCCTCTGTGTGTGCTTCCACCTCTTCCCCACAATAAACAATCAAGAAAGAGCTCTGTTTTTCTGCAGAAAACTTATTTGCAAGTGTTTCCTTATGTATTTTTGCTGAAAGGGTACTAATAGTAATGGCTAAGTTTAAGTGACTGGAGAGGAACAGGGATTTCCAAATTCAGGATAAAACAGATCACACTTCACAACTCTTCTCTCTATTGTTTCTATTTGGAGTACAAGAATTTAGTTCAAATGTTAATCTCTGCATTTAGATAGCTAAAAGGTTAAATGAAGGGAATTGTATTTGCTATGCTGGGGAGTAGCTGGGAGTAGGGAAGGGGAATACCTGTATTTGTCAGAAAATCAACCTCTGCCAGTATTTCTGTCCCTGGTTCTGGCTTGGTTTCCCAGACTTGGTGAGTCAGAAGATAAATTAAAATACCTGATGAGCTGGATGTGTGAGGGGCAGCAGGGCTTCCTTAGGCCCCCCAAAAAATTTGGATTCATGGTCTTTTGCAGGTGTTCATCCTCCAGCTGGAAGGAGAGAAGCACTGGCGGCTCTACAAACCAACGGTGCCTTTGGCTCGGGAGTACAACGTTGAGCCAGAAGAGAGGATTGGGAGTCCCACACATGAATTCATATTAAAGGTTTAGTTGCTTTTAATTCATATTAGAGGTTTAATTTAATTGCTTCAGGTGGTCTGGGCTGTGGTAGCAAGGATCATGCTTGGTAGGTTCTTAGAAGTAGCTGATGTGATCAAGTTTAAAGACCATAAGGTTAAAATTGAATTATATTTCATCAATATTGCTCTATGAACTTTCTCTTTGTGCTGGTGTTTATAGGAAAAGGCATGAGAAAACTGATTTTTTCCTTTGTGGAGGCAATTTCATGTGCTTTGCACTTCTTTTTTGTCTCAACTTCCCTGATCTATATTATTTTCTGTGGAGATATTTAATTTACATATGTGAGAAGATAGGGGAGGAGGAAGGTTCTACTTGTTTTTTTGAGTGTTTTAACTAACATTTTCAGACTATTTGACTTTTCTTGTGACACACTGGCCTTACCTTTTGATATGATCTGAGCAAATTCCCAGGGCACTGAATTACCAACAGATTCATCTCAGCTGCCTTGTCCCCTTCCTGCAGCTCAGCAGGACTGTGCATGTTCTAGCATGCTAAAAGCTCGTGTTTGCAGACAGGTGCAGAACAAATATTGACAGTAGGTTTCTTTATGTTATTAAAGTGTACATTGGAGAATTGCTCAGTCTTGTGATTTTTAAAGAATATGTATTGTCAGTCTGTCTGCTCAGAGTTATTTTCTCTGGATTACAGTAAGGTTTGACCAAGAGGCCTAAATGTATCAATTCTCTTTCATTTTCCTGCAGCCAGGTGACTTATTGTACTTCCCAAGAGGGACTATTCACCAAGCTGACACTCCTCATGGGATCTCCTATTCAACACACGTGACCATCAGCACCTACCAAAACAAGTAATTCCTCTTTATTTCTTGTTTTGTATGGCTTTCCTTTGCCAGATGATGTTTGTGAGCTGTACAGACCTGAAGCTGGTGCTTCAAAGAAGTGATGTCCTATTTCTTAAAAAAAAAAAAATATTGTAATGAGCTCTGCTTGGGTCTTTACTGTGTTCATCCTATGCAGCCCTTGTGTGGTTTGTTTTCCCGTGGGTATTGCAGGGATAGGGCATGTCAGCTTACCCCCAGAGGTGTGGAGAATGGAGTGAAATACACCCCACTACTGCATAGGTGCCCTGCTGTTAGGGGCAGAATCTAAGTGTTGATGTAGCAGTAATTGAAGTTTTGGGGTTTGGGGGAAGGAGGGGAGGGAGACTGTTGTTTGAAGCAGTCTCTTTGCCAGGTTTTCATGCAGCATGCTTGATTGCTTTTTAATTGCTTTATTTATTATTTACCAGCTGGAGACTTTAATGTGGAAGATAGTGTTACAACTGCAAACTGACTGCTGTCTTTAAAAAAAACCCTCACCAGTGGCTGAAGTTGCTGTTCATTTCATAATCCAGACAAAGAGCCACGGGTTATTTCTTTAATCAGGTTTCCTCCTGTATTTGATGGTCACCCACACCTCTTCAGACAAATTCTTCCATGCAAATATTCTCTGCTAATTTGTGTTTTTCATTTTCTACCCCATACATGAGAGTCAGATTTCTTTTGACACAGGTCAGGTCCTTGTCCCCCCATTGAAACACTGTTATCACACAGGGAAGAATGCTGCTGCTGCCACCAGCTCTCAGGTGCTGGGCTTGGAATTATTGGTCTGATTTAAGAATTGGGAAGGATTTCTGTTAGCTGCAAAACAGGGCAGAACAAGTCTGGGCATATTTTAGATAACTGAGATAAATCTCTAACCACCAGCTGTACCACTGTGGAAGCCCAGTCAGTGTTGCTGGTCACTTTTCCTGTGGCCAGTGTGCACAGCAGGGTTTGTCCAGCTGGATCTGTATGGATTTATTGGCCAAGCAGTGCTGGGAAGCCAAGGATTCAGCTCCTTCTAATGGGATTGCTGGAGATTTGCAGCCTTGTGTGGAGGCAGTGCAGTTTCTCCATGGCTGCACCAGCCCAGGGCCAGTCCAGTGCGTGACTTGTCAGGAGCACATTCCCTGGGGATGTCTGTTGTGGCTGAGCAGAGGAGCAGGAAAAGCTTCAAGACTGCTCTTCTTCCAAGGTTAAAAAGTGGAATCATCATCCATTAAGGTTATTGGCAATGAAGTGTAAGAGCCTTCCTCTGCCCCTGCTGTCAGCAAGTGTACGTAAAAGAAGCAGCAGTCCTGGTGTTTTGATTTGGTTTGTAGATGGAAGTATGATGTAGAAACATTTCCTTGGGAAAATGAAGAGAATTTGAAAATAGCTGTGGAGGGGGCACTTGCAGGTATTTTTAAGCACCAAGACAAAAGGGACATCTCTGTTGAAGCAGAGTTTGTCTGGACCAGATCCCAGTAGGCAGAGAGGATTGCATGTGTGGGATAAACAGGACAGTTTGGAAAAGCAGTGAGTAGCTGAAGGCATTTGTTGGCAGATGGAAACTGGGGGAAAGAGAAGCACTAAGAAGTAAATGCCCAATTCCAGAGTTTTCTTCCCACTGGGTAGCAGACAGTGAAACATTTGAGTAGACATGGGAAAAAAAAAGAGGCTATAATAATTGTTTTATATCTTAACACTAGTTAAGAAAAAAAAGTAGGATGTGTATTTTATTTCAATGCAACTATTTCAGTAATTTTTTATTCTTCCTGTCCTTCAGCTCGTGGGGAGATTTCTTACTGGATGCAATTCCTGGCCTGGTGTTTGATGCAGCAAAAGAGGACATGGCACTGAGGACAAGCATTCCAAGGCAACTGCTCATGGTTAGTAGGTGGGACTCTGGGAATAATGGTGCATCCAGGTGATCTGTCAGAAAAGTTCTGTTGGGATTCTCTCCTGAATCTTTAAGTCAGTGAAGCTGTGAATTCTTGTGGGACCTCCTTATGGTGGTCCTGTCCTGCTGCTTCAGCTTCGATATGTGAACAGCTCGTGGGGAATGTGTGAAGGAAACAAAGCTTGGCTTGGGATTAAGCAAAGATAAAATAATGTCCAGATTTTCACTGCTTTGCTGCACTGCTTTAGGCCTGGTCTGTTCAGCTTGACTTCTCTGTGGCTGTTTAGCAGGTGAACACAGCTGACTGCACCAAAAAGCTGAGCAGCCTTCTGAGAAGGCTTGCAGACAGTCTGGAGAGCTCCAGGGAACTGAGATCATCCGACATGAAGAAGGATTTCATCATGCACCGGTTGCCACCGTGCTTGGGATGTGACTCTGATCCTTTGACTCCAGGTAGAGTTTGAACTTCCCAAAACTGGCTGATGTGATGGTAGTGGCCAAGTCTGCCACTTAAAACTTGTAGTGTTTCATGGCATGACCTCTCTTGGTCAGTTCCCATTCTCTGGCAGGAGAGATGACTGTTTCCCTTAGGCTGAAATAAAGATTATCCTAGAATTAAAAAATCTTTCTCACTGCTTGTTCCTCCACAAGTTTGAGAACTTGTGGCTGTGGAAACACAGGTTAACAAAAAATGTGGCTATGAGAGAATGGGTAGTGCACAGGGGGCTCAATTTGTAGCATGTCTGCTTTTCTTCCTTTCCTAAGGGAGAATTTATTCTTCCTAGGTGGGAAATTGCCAAAAATAGATAGCAAAATCAGACTGCAGTTTAGAGACCATGCTATCATCACTGTGGAACCAGATCAAGACAATGCTGTAAGTATAAGAAGCCCCCCTCGTATGCCTGGGGTGGGAGGCATGAGAATTGTTGCTCTGTTGTACTAAAAGGGTTGTGCAGTTCTGCTTGGTTGGGTCCTGCATCCCATTATTGCTGTTAAGAGATCCTGGGGCTGTTTACTGAGCACATTCCAGCCTTTTGGAGGGAGGTACAGAATTATATTGTCTGTGATTCTGCATGGCTTTTATCTGAATCACGTGGGGTAAATCATTACAGCAGCTAAAATGGCCTCTCTATCTCTTGATAACAGGTTTTTCTTTAAATTATTTGTATTTAGGAACATGAAGAAATTACAAAATTAGGGTTCCTGAAGAGAGGGAATTCTCTTGGTTGCATTTAGTCTTCACTATTGAGTTATCTCTGTACCTAGTGGGTGACAGTGGAACTTAATAGTTGTTCTACAACATAGATACTGGCATGTTGCATCATTCTGTGTTTACTCTGCTGCTTATCTGTGAGGGTTTATTAGTATGAAATTACAGAAGTGCTTTTTTGTTATCTTAATTTTAAAAAAGATGGGGGGAGGGGGAAACGCATACAGAGGATGGGCTATCATGTAAAAGTTTTTTTTGGGTTTTTTTGGTGTTTGGTTGTTTTTTTCTTTTATGAGTGGAATGTGTCCCTCCAAGAAAAACATACCAGAACTTTCTGATTTTTCTCCTCCATTTTATTTGTGTCCCTATTGCTGTGAGATTGTGTAGGGTTTGGAAACTTTTTTTATTATAAAGCCTTGATCAAGCATTGATAATGGGCATGTGATTTTTAAGAGACAGATCAGTCTCAGACTGGAGATTTATTGACGCACACCTGTTCATTAAGACTTTCCATGAGAGGTGCCTTAAATGGCCTATTTTTCACACAGCAGCACTCCTGTGACTCCAGCAGGGTCAGTTTTAAGGCAGAAAGTTGTAAATAGATTTTCAGAGGTGTTGGAGAGTCCTTTCTTGCTGTGGGAGGTGGCTCTTGGGTCAGTCCATTGAAGTGACTTGCTTTCCTTGCTGTAACAGTGGCCTCTGGAATTAAGGAGCTGGCACTGGAGTGAGGTGGGTGTGAGGGTGTGGATCACCTGTGACGATTTTCTTCCTGCTGTCTTTTAGGATGAAATTCGGAGGGAGATGGTTTATGTGTATCATTCCTTAAAGAACAGGAGAGAAACTCACATGATGGGGAGAGAGGATGACACTACCAGTGAGGATGGCCTGGCACAGGTTTGTTCCTGCAAACACCCAAAATTTATCTTACCATTGTGGGTTTGGCTGTGTTCTTCAGCACCTAGAATTTTTCAGTGCACTCCCAGAGTACCAGAATGAGCTGAAGCTGCAACACAGGCAGTGAATAGTAGAACTAAGTAATGTGATCTTGTGCTTAATTAAACATGTGAGATGCTAATGGGATGTCTTGTGCATGCCCCAAGGCTCCAGCAAAGCTGCTGGAGCAATTGAAGGCTTCTCTTACTTGTGTATCCTTCAGCAGGTCCTGTCTGAGGCTGGAGATGTACCACACATTCCATGGGGATCACTGCACCTCACTTCTGTCATGTTAAACCTGTGTTAGCTCCTGTATGCACTGCAACACCCTGTAAAGGGCTGCTCACTTCAGCCTGGGGCAGGTTAGCACTGGGAGTAAAGACCTCACTCTTCTAAAATCTAATTCAGGTCTGCACAACTCCACCAAGGAGGCAGAACAGAGCACAGCCTGGCCTTGGCTTGGCCTTTGCTGCAAGGCTGGTATTTCCCTTTTGAGGTAATCTCAGTGCTCCTCTAGAGCTGAGGCTGGACACTGGTACCTGAGCTACACACAATACTCCAGGATCTTCCTTTCTGCCCTTAAAAAAGAGTTTGGGAATTAAGGTTCTCTGTGCTTCTGTGCCCAAAGACTGCATATGTCAGCTAGAAATAAAGCTCTGTGACCTTGCTAAAATAATGGGAAGAGTTAGAAAGAGGGTAAATGTAAAATTACTTTTTTTCTTCTGTGCCATAACATCCCTACCTTGTAAAGCATGCTACAGTATGGAAGAGTTACAGTTTTAGTTAAACCTATTTTACTTCGAGGTATCTTTTGAGGCATGCTCTCACCGACAGGAGTGTACTGTGGGAATGGAGCACGTTCCTGCTGCTCCCTCCCCACAGCTTCACACCCTGGTGTGTAATCAAGTCACTGCACTTTGCTCAGGGGCTTTTTCTGTCTCCTTTTCCCCAGCAGACTCATGGGCTGCGCTTCCCTTTGTCATACTTGGATGCACTGAAGCAGATCTGGAGTAGCAGCACTGTTAATGTTAAAGAGCTTAACCTTACCTCAGATGCAGAGAAAGAAAACCTTGCCTTGTCACTCTGGACTGAATGTCTGATTGAAGTTCTTTGATGCTTTTGTGAATTAGCTGCTCTGGCTATCAATGATCTCTTGAGACCAAGGTTTATTAAATTAAGGTTTTTTTAATCCATCCGGCCTCTGGTTTGTAGTGCTAACAAAGCATTGCAGTATCTGTACTTTGCTGCTTTCTGGTGCCAAATGTTAACTGTCCTTCCACACTTCTGGGAAACTGGGCATGGGGAAAAACAGGTAAGTGAGCCACAGCTCCAGGTGTGTGGCTGGATGAAGTCACTCTTAAGTGCCCCCAGTGCTGTGGTGTCCCCTTCCCTCTGGAGAGCTGCTGGGCTGTGGAGGACATCTAAAGTTATACATGGAACAGGCTCCAAAAACTTGGGCATAAAACATTAACTTGTTTTTTTTTCATTTGTGAAGTACATCAGCACAAAAATCTGATTGATTGCCCTGACAGAACAAAAGCTTCCTGGTAAAAGCTGTGTGTGCTGTTCCCACAGGGAAGACTTTGCCCAGGAAAACCACTTTTCCCTCAGATGCTGCCATCCTTGGAATAAACAAACAATAATATTTATTCTCTACCTCCCCCAGCACCAATTTCAAGTGACAGTAACCCAAAAGCCTGTAGCTGGAATCTATATCTTCAATATTCACTTGAGTGGATTTGGTGAGTCTGGTGCAGTTACTATAATACTTCATTGATTTTTAATGTGCAATCTCATGTAGCAACACATTCAATATACTTATCCCCCTTTTTTTGGGCATTGGAAAATAAATATTTTATAGGAATGTGTTCAACATCTGCTGAAAACTATTAATTAGTTTGTTTAAAAAGAAACCAACCAGCCAAATGTTTCTCCTAAAAAGTTTTATACAGTTAAAATATACATGCTTTAGCATTTTACATTCAATGTCTCTTAAGTACAAAAGCCTGCTTTACTTTGTTATGTAACACTGAGACACCAAGTATGATTTAGTCATTCTTCATTTAAAAAACTACAGTTTTTTTACACAGGCTTTTAAAATTTCATATGGAAAGTCACATGCAGAACACGTGATGTACTGACTTATATGGAAAAAAGCTTAACAAGTGCTTTAGTTGAAAAAATATATACAAACATTTGAGGATCTTACTCAAACAGCAGATTTACGATAATTTTAGAATGTAAAATAGTAAGTGCAAGTAATTTTTTTTTAAATAGTACTAGATAGAACTCCATTTCATACAAAAATAGACATCCATATATTTTATTTCTATGGCAAACTTAGAGTTATGTCTTTGTTTGGGGATGATCCTGTTTGAGTGCACAGCTGGCATAGCTTTTTGGAATTTCAAATATCTGCCTTCAGCTAACTGAACTCTTTAAGTAGTCCTAGAAATACATACCCTGAATGTACAAATGCTGGAAAAAAAAATATTTTCAATGAAGATTAATTTAGTGCTGCTGAAGCTGGGGAGCTGAGGGAATTCTCTTCCATGGCAGGTGTTCAGAGTCTTCCAAGGGGCTGTGGTTGAGCCAGGAAAAAGCTTTTCTGACTCTGTTGGAGCAATAGCTGTGGTTGCATAGTGTGGAAAGTGAGGAGAGCTCCGGCACTCCAAGCTCTGCACCATCAGTTGTCCTTGGTGCCACAATGACCCTGACGTGCAGCCATGCTGCTCTGGGAACATGAGGCCAGCCCTGGAGTGCAGGCTGCTGGCACCTTTGGAAATACATGCCAAGGTGAGTTGATTTGGTACTGTTAAAAGCAGAGAAGACAAAGGTTTACCAGTATCATTTAGGGGGTGAAAGGCCCCTGTATTGCCTCATTTCATATGCTGAGCTGGAATTCCAAGGTGTTCCTTGGTTCAGTTCAAAGGTGTCCTTATGAACAAAATAAACTTCATTTTAATGAGAGATTGAGGATCATTTGGAACCTAAACAGTTTCACTTGGGACATAAAAGCCCCACTCAAGTTCGTTGAAGCTCATCAGTGCATTCACTTCTCAGTGAGCTTCCAGCAATGTGAGAGAAAGGTAAAGAGCATTTCTGAAGAGCCTTTCCCCTCCTATCTCTTGCACTTCCTGTGCTGCAGAACTTCTGCCTGCTCTGGTGACTTTCACAGGAGCAGCCTCTGCAGAATCAGCTTCCCTGCAGAGAGACATTGGATCAACCTCCCATCTTCCAGATTTGTGCAAAATTCAGTTCTTTTAGGAGCTGGTGCTTGGCATGAAGGAAAATGGAGAGGAATTGCTGCTTATGGTTCCAGTGGTGTGTGACTTCAGTAGTTGGGTTCTTTTTTCCCCTCTACATGTTGGTAGCCCACAAAAAGTTCATCTGTGGGGTGGATTTTACTCACAATATTTCAATATCCCATTTCTGTGAAGGTTTGTTTTCTATTGGCTGATTCATAATGATGTGATTCTTGTCATAATAATTTCCTCCTTAAAAACAAAAGGAAGTCATGAAGGAAAAGCTTTTGAAAGAAATACTCATAAAAATGATACATAATATTTGAGAAGCATGACTAAGTAGGAAAATCAGCTGAAAAATAGGAATTCTATGAGGTATGGGGCTGTTGTCTGTAACTGAGCAATGACAGTTTTAACCAGCCTTCTTTTTGAAACTCCTTTTCTCTTTTTGAGCTATTCTGTGGTTGGTTTTCCTTCATCACTTTGTCTTCTGTAACTTGCACTCCTTGCCATCTGCACTATCTAACTCCCCAAAGCACAACAGTTCATCTGATCAAAATAAACCTCTGGAGTCAAAAGAGAAAGGTTCTTCCCTGCCCTGCTGTTTCTTGTCCCACTGTCAAGCAACTGGACAGGAAAGATAGGATTCAGTTCCTGACCTTAAGTACAAGCGAAAAAAAAAAAAGCTGGACTATGGAAGTTAACCTTAATCAAAAAACACACTTAAAACCTGTGAGCTTGAGAGTTTTTGTATTTAAATACCTTTAATATCAAGCACCAGTTGCTCACTGAGGTATGAGCTGATGGTTCCATCCTCGTTGAGTCTCCACTTTTGCCTGTCCCTCCCATGTTCTGGCCAGAGGGCGACTTTGGCGCCAGGCAAGTCTCTGCCCCCAATGACATCCAGACAGGTATTGTTGGCCTAAGAAACAGGGAGAGCAGTGAGATCCAGCCCACAGAGCCCCAGTTTTTGTGCCTAACTTGTCTCAGGCACTGAGCATATGGCAGTAAATCCTGATGTAGCTGGTAAAACCCTGGGAAGCAAGCGAGGAACAGACTGTTCAACACCCGACTAGCTGCTTGATCAAATGCGCTGGTCTAGGTTACTTCATTTTTTTAAATGTTAAACCATCAGCTTTTTAAAAAATATTAATAACAGAGCATCAAGGGCAGCACTAATAGAAAACCACTCTGAAACTCACCTTGGACTTGAGGAGCCCCCGGCAGTAGTGCCAGAGCTGGGAGTCGCTGCGGCTGCGCGGGGCCGCGCACACCGAGGTCGCCCGGATGTCCGCCAGGCTCCCAGCCACGGTCAGGTACCTGCCCTGGGCCCTGTTCCTCAGCCTCAGGTACACTGCTGGCTGCAAGGGTGAGGGGAGAGATTTACAACACAGAGATCGAGCCCATGATGTGGGAGGGCCTCCCCTCCACCATCCTCCCCTCCGTCTGTGCTCAATTTTTGTTCTCAGTCGAGGATGTTCAGTAATTTTTGGTTGGAAACCAACGTGAATGTGAAGCACACTGAGTGGTTTTTCACATGCAGATGGGAGGCTATAAACAGCAATGGCAGATAGGTCTTTTTACAAAGAATGTAATTATGGCTATAGAACTAATTCCTGTGATCTGCAAATATGCCTAGTTCAGCACATTCCAAGGGCAGTACTCCACAACCTTTTCATTCTTAAAACTTACTGAGTTACAAATCCAGCAACTTCAGCCCTCCCTAACTGGAATATTTGGCAGAGAAATGCACCACTCTTTTTGAACATACATGGAAAAACAGGGCACTGACCTGGTATCCCTGTTTATTGGTTTACTCAGAAAATAAAGAGGATTTTGCAGGGCTACTGCAGGGTTTGAGCTTTTGCTCTGTTATTCACTGATTTCAGTGCAAATAAAAAGCTGGGAGTTATAAAGGGCAGCTCTGTTGGAAGCCCTTCACTCACAACCTTTTTTCTGGGAGCTTTAAATCTCCTTTTTTTCCATATTAAAACAAACCCTGAGCTACAGAGAATAAGGCCTCTCTCCTACTAAGCATCCATAAACAAAAACTGTATCAGTACAGTGTTTAGTTACTCTTTGTGGTTTAGAGAACTGAACCTTTGAATAAGACTTAAATTGGAATTACCTGGGGTGAGACAGAAAGGGAAAACGTGATGGGAACTCCATAAGCTTTGCCTCTTTTGGAAATCCAGGCTACAGCACAATAAAATTCACTCTTGCTTCCATTTATGTTAATTATGAAACAAGTCAGTGTAGAATTGATTTCCTCTTATATTGTTATATGGCAAAAATGTAAAAATAGAGCATCCACAGAAAATGCTAATGAGCAATTCAGAAAAACAAAACTTGGCACCAAGAAACTGGGAATTATTTCCCTTTAGGAACCTAACACAGATCTCAATAACTGCTACAAGAGGCATTTTCTGCTCAGCAATCTTCCAGTGGGTCCTTCTGGCTGTCATCGTTAGGCCTGATTTAAGGAGTACAACACACCTCAATGTGCTTGGTGGTAGACCTGTGCACAAACCCCTGTCCACAAAAACCCATTTTCCTCACTCAGTCCTACAGTACCTGCTTCACAGGACGAAGGGAGCCAATCACTTTCCAGCCACTGTATTCAGTCCAGTTTGAAATCCCCCTGGGCTCCAGCAGAATCTGCCTGCCTAAAAAATTGCATCCCTCGTAGGCAATCCATCTGGATACACAAAACAGAACGTGAAAGGGCACTTGTTATCCACAGCAAAACTAAACTGCAGGTCAGAGCTATGCTCTTAGAAGCCCCCAAAGCTCTCCACAGTGATGCCTCTCTCTGTGCTGCAAAATGCCATCCATTTCAGTAGGATGGCTGCCTTCTATTGAAATTCAGACCCATTTTCTGTCTGTCTGCCTAAAATTTGCAGATTACACTTCCCATCTCCCCTCTCCCCCTCCATTTTTTTCCCCAC